GGGCGCCATTAACCGCCGCGCCGCCGCCGCCCGCTTTGAAGCGGCCGCCCCGCCCAGCGGCGCCCCCTGGCGGCGGCGGGAGGCGCCTCCCGGCCCGGCGGGCGCGGGGGTTTTCCCGCCTGGAAGCGCCGGGAGCGATGCCGGCCCTGGGCGTGCTGTGCTGGCGGTTTCCCCCGTATTTCAATACCTATTTTAATATATTTTCGTCATGGTTCCCCCATATTTATTTCTTTTTAAAATATTCTTTATGGTTTCCCCGTAATTTAATATTATTTTTTTCTAAAGGAGTCGCATCTCGGGTTGTCCCACTGTGACTCCCCCCCGGCCCAGCAGGGCATCCAGCGGGAGGAGAGAAACAAGGAGAAGGGGGGGGATTGGTTTTTCATAAGGAGGGCAGGGAGGGAAGAAGGGAAATGTAAGGAACCCGTGAGGCTCGTGGCTGTTTTCGTGAGCACTGCTCAGCAAAAACAGCTGCTTTCCCGTTGGTTTATGGATGGGGCACGGACCGGCTTTCTTCCCTCCCGCACACCGGGGAGAACAGCGAGCTGGCGCGGTGAAACGGGGGCTGGGGGGGGGATTTAGCAAGAGGCAGTTTATGCCCTTGGCCGAGGCGCAGCGGGGTGACACGACACCGGGGGGGGAGAGGGGGGCACCTTGCGGGGGGCTGCGGGGTCGGGGAAGGAGGCACAGAGCATCCTGACCCCTGGGTACCATAAGAGAAGATAATCTGGCTTTCTCCTCAGATATTTATGGCTGGTTGTGTCTTTCCTAACGGCTGCCATCTGAACAGCACAAGGTGTTTTTGCCGTCTTCTCCCAGCACAGGCCAGTCCACTCAAGCACGGAACAAATGTTTTTCATCGTAAGGAGAATTGTTCATCATCATCACTATTGTTCTCCGTGTTGGCCTAGATGCTGCCCTTGGCACCGTGCAAGCAGCCCCCTGTGCTAAATAGAGACCTCAGCCAGAATTACAGCTCTCTTGTGAGCACAGTCACGCGTTCTGCTGTTAGGGCTCCGAGTTATATTTTGAAAAAAAAGAAACTGCAGCCAAACTTAAGAAAATAGAAACATTTATTGAAATGCGCAACACAGGTGAAATATTTGGCACTAATTACGTGACAGTATAATTTAAAAATTCATCATTTGTAGCGTTCAAATATATCAAGCATCCTTCACACTGAAAAGAGGGCATCTTAAAATGCATCTTAAATGACAGTTGTATCCATTACTCAAGGTATTTACATGATGATTTTTAGTGAAGTAACTCAGTCTCCCAAACACTCATTCTCTACAAATTATACAAATATTAGCAGCTGCATAATACTGGTAAACTACAGTGCAAGTTCCTTCCCAATTCAGCATCTCTAACAAGTGCTTAGCTTCAGTATTATGGGATTACACATGAAAATACAATTAAGCATATCTGTGTTTAGAGGACTTAAATCCTGATTCTTCAGTGCCACAATGTGCATGTAATCTCTAAGCCAAGGAGTAGCCCTGTTGAATTCAGTATTATTTTTCTAGTCCCATGCTGAAAGTCAGGCCCAACTACAGAATGAAAGCCTGAAGGCCATTTTTGGTCCAACGTGAACTCTCTTATAGATTAAAAAAAAATTAAACTAGATTAATCAAGCTGTAGCCAAAAACAAAAAAAAAAATTAGAGATTTTACACAAAAATGAATTTTGCACATAAAAATACGAATAGCTATTCTTTAACGATTCTGTGTCAAAGTGTGTTATGTCAAATTCTTCATTTCCAATGTACACAACTGGCATTTTCTTTGGAAAAGAGTATCACACAGAGCAGAAACCTTTCCTTAATTATGTATGGTAGCAAAAGGTGATATAAAATCCTTAAGATTTTAAGAAGATAAGAAATTAGAACTTTCTGATAAAAGCCGTCTTCAATGGCTTCACATTATTTACTGGATTTTCACATTTTCAGCTCCAGTTTTGTTTATCCTGCAGCTTCCTCCATAGGCACAGAGGATCTCCTGCAGCAAAAGAATAGCTATTTACAGAGTAAAGTGCAAAGAATAGCAGGATTTCTGGATCTGAAGGGGAGTTTGTGCACCTCACATCTGCGTGCTGTGACACAGCTGGCATTTTCTGCCGAAGCAGCAAGCTGGTAGATTTAGTGGTACATCGATGCACTAAATCTTTCCCCAGGCTGGGACCGGGCCAGCAGCATAGGAAGAATGCTTCTTTTCTCTCAGGCAGCGTAGATGCTGAGGAAGGGGCTAGCTTTAACATCTGAGCAACGGGAACGCAGAGGAAGTCAAACCCCACAGTTACATAAAATCTGGGCTGCCCGTAGTCGCTGCTCAGGCAGAGCTCCAACCGAGGTCAGCGAAACCGCTGCCAAAAGACTATGGGGTTAATGTGTGTGGGCCACATTTTAAATGTCACTTGGTATTAATACAAGGGGAAAAAATAATACTGAAATGGAAGCAGCTAGGAAGTGTTGTGATTGCAAAATGCAAAAGACAAAGAGACAAAAGAGCACCGCTGAGACAGTCTATTTACAGTTAGCATAGTAAAAATAGCAACTGAAGGAATTATAAATGGAAACATTTTCACAGTGTATTCAGAGATGCACCTTCCTTTATTCAGAAGTAGCAGCTCCTACTTATGCACCTTCTCCTTCAACTTTGAAGACGCATTAGGTGAATGCAAAGCATTTCTCTTGAAAAACTCTTTAAAAGAATCAAGTAGCATTAGCAGAAAAAGGAAAGAAGGCATCATTTTCTCTACGTGGTACCTTCAATGCATGCTGTCTCCCAGCTGCTGCAAATATTTAAACATGTGAGACAGCGTGGGCATTGAGTTCAATGGGCAGTAAGACAGGGCAGTGCCAGCTCATTTCTGCTTTAGTGCAATGCTCATCCCCGTGCCCTTTGTAGAGAGCTTTGGGGTGGATGGGACTAGTTAAATTTGGAAAACTGTAATTATAAAGCCATAAAAATTGCCAGAAAACCAACAACAAGGGCAGCATATTAGATTACTGGTTTTGCAGGGGTTGTTGACTGTTCTTTATTTTATGTTGATGCTGCCAGCTCTGATTTTAAGAGCTGTCACAAACCCCGATTAGTTTCACTTAATATCTGCATGTTTGTAACCAGCGAGAAAGAATGATTACTGACCCAAGCAACCTTTAAAACAAGGCTACATGATATATGAAAATTAAAAAAACAAAATTTATGAGAAGAATGTGAATAACATAGTATTGAACTGAGTGAATAACATTATTCATATAGTATGTGAATAACACAATACGCAACAGAAGATACGTATTAGGTGTGCTATATAGTATTAACTAATTTCAGAAGGAATCTATGTATGGGGACAGAAAAAAATGTTAAAAATATTAAATCAGTATTTGCATATAAAAGGAAAATTAAGGAAGATATGAATAAAATGCAAATACTGTTTTCACTGTAAATATTTCTTAGAACTAAGGTCATTGTCAATGTGAAATAAGAAGTTGCTCATCATTGGGTAAAATGCACTTTTATGTTTTAGGATAAATATAATATTTTTTCATGACTAAAAATACATTTTCACAGAAAATTAGGTCCTCCAATGTTTTTGCAAGTACCACGTGTGTATAGGGAGGAGAGGGAGAAGAACAACAGACGCTTTTACATTTAAGTCTTAAAGAATGAAAATTGCTAGGTTTCTCAGCTTGATTTCCTTTTCAATATATTAACAGAGACAATGATTCCTCGCTTCTGAGCACTGTTAGCCCTGAAAGAGGCAGGGGCTGCTTCCCCAGGCCTGCCAGCTGGCCCTCTTGTGATGGAGTGAGGAACTGCCATCCACCTTTCCATAGGAATGTATGATCTTAAAACTGCTTCCTGGGTGATATTATAGTTACAGTTCGCTTTTAAGTCCTTCATACAATAGACTAGAAGGTTGATTTCAGAGACCTATTTATATGAAAGCTCTGAAGGTGCTTGGTAACGTTCAACCAAACGATACATAGGAACATAATCTACTTTCTAAAAACATTTAACATATTCACATATAGAGTTATACTGAACATCAATCTGTATCATATAGCAAGTATAGTTAAAAGCATTAAATACATATATACACACATATATACACTCACACCCATTTTCTTTACATAATACTCAATATACTAACTCAGTATATTGAGTTACCAGTCCAGTTTCATGTCTGCTTTACTCCACACATACTTTCCTCCTCTTTTTAGGAACATGCTCTCATCAAATCCACTGAATTTTATGGCTGCTTCCACGCCAACATCTAGGATAGACTTGGAAGGCTCTTTCCGTCCATTTCTACAGTTTAGAAAACGCATCTGGAACACCAATAGATAAGAAGTTAGAAAGTAAATTTTTAAAAGCTTAATTTTTCTACAGAATAAAACAAGTTGCATAGCTAATCCCATGAAAACCTATGTAAGTGCATGAACAGTTTCACTGTAGTCCTTAGAAGCCTTAAAAGCTCATGGTTAGACATACCGACACATTTTAGCAGGAAGAAGGCCATGCCATAATTCCTGAAGATTAAATGTTTGCTCTTCAGTTACATGTAAACTAATGAAACTTAGCTTTCAATTTCTGGATTTTTAAATTAAAGAAAAACAGCAAAGACGTCCTGCAAAGATACACATCTGTACTTTAAGATTCAAGATCATGCATGCAACCTGATGGCAACTCCTCCTTAGGTCATACTTAAATTCAAGATCTCGGTATGTTTAGTGGGAAAAATTACATCTGTTCCTTGTGCTACATGGTAAAATTATTTTATAGAATTCACAATAAATAGAACTGGTTATCACTGTTGTATACATACATATATTAGCAGATTAATACCAAGTATCAAACAAAGACTTACGTATTCATCCAGAATGAGGTATGAATCCCTCATCTGTAATAGACCAAAAGAAAAAAACTAAATTAATATCCAAACCAAAATTCCATTCTTATTAAAAATCAAGGACAAAACAAACAACTACTCTTTCAAAACCTGATCTAAATCTTTGAGGTAGGCAGTGTCTTACCACTATTTCAGTGAGCTCAGGTCAAATTTATAGAAATAAATGACAGGATTACTACCATGACTTAATGCATGAATAAACCAGTAATTTTTGGAATATGACCTCTCAAGTGTCTAATTAAAATACGGGTGCCCAAGTGGATAAAGGTGTTTTAAATAATATCCAAGTTTTCTATTAACTTCTACACCAGGCGAACTTACACCGTTTTGCATATTGGAATGATTAGGTCATTTTCCAAACAAATGACATGACCTTTTAAGCTGGGGTGCCTGATAATCACCCCAGCAGACAAAGGTGTTCTTCCAGCTCAAAAAGCTCTCAGGTCAGCACAAAGAAATACGCCAGCAACTGAAATAAGGTATATTTGCTCATGAACTGAACTGCTGGGCTCTGCAGCAGCACAGTGTCTCCCCATGACTAGAGCCTGAATGTGCAGCCCAAAGGAGTTCAAATAGTCAATGTTGAAAATGTGACTTTATTGTGGGAGGAAGTACCTAGTAAGGTGTGTCGGGCAAAAATACTACTTCCTCAATACCCAATATAATTCTGACTGGGATGATACCTTATTTCCTGTAGGTTGGTGACACTGCCATAGCACAGCATCATGGTGAATGTTAGGAAACTATGCTTACAGTATAAAGTGTGTCTACATTAATATTCAACCTTAGCAAGCTCTTGTGCCCTGGTGGGGAAGGGCTATTCAATTCTAAAGGGCTTAATTATTGTTTAGAGTCTACTACTCAGCTGTGGAAAACTCAGTTTCTCCAGCTCCTCTACTGATGCTTTATCCATCCATCTCACTGAGCAGAGGCCCACATGACACTGTGAGAGGACCTCCCCTGGTTTCCACAGGCTTGGGACCAATGAATTTTTATTTTTCTGTTAATAACTTTGTGCTCAATAAAAAGTCTTAAAGAAAATTAAAAACCTTGGCTACCAACATAGTAAAACCAGAAGCTGACAAAGTGGTACTGTACCTCTTCTAAGCCAATACTAATAGGGAAAGTGTTAATTGCCACGAAAGCTTCTAGTTCTTTTCCATCTTTCCAACTATATTTCAAAATAAAGTTGCAGAAGGACAGTTTCAGTTTTACCTTCTGATTAGATTCTGGTACTAAACAGGAGACATCTTTGTGGCGATCCAGGAATTGTTCAAATTCTTCATCGCTGATAACAAATTTCTCTGCTTCTCTCAGGGCATCCTCACCACTGTTCTCCCCTTCAATGATCAGGCACTGGAATACCTGAAGACAAAAGGCACCTGGTTAAGATTTCATGTTTTCACTTGCCTTGAGTATAAGACACTGTCACCATGACAAAAACCTTCAGTTGTCTCAGTAGTGATGTCTTTAATTTTTCTGTCAGTGGAGCCACACTGACACAGATTGTGACAAGTGAATATTATATGAAAGGCACAGTGCAGATTTATTTTTAGCAAATTAAAATTACGTAGTTCTAAATGTAATTATACAGTCATGGTTCCTGATCAGTTTTCCACAGGAATCCTAACTGCTCTGGTCTTAATAAGGGCACAGATAATAAAAGCTCAAATTAACTTTTGATTGGACCTCAAATAGTATGGCTGTATTATAAATGCCAGTAAGTACTGTGTACAACGCAGACTATCAAGTCAATCTGTTTGGGTTTTTTTGTATTTTAACCTGATTTGTGACTGCAAGTTTAACTAGCTTCAGGCGGTCAGAGAAAAGACAGAGAAGACTCCCCAAAAACATAATGCAATAGCTTTTCCACTTAACAGCCTCCTTCTAATGGCCAAGTCCTCAACTACATTCAGACTTCGTGGGGAAAAAAGATGCCTTTGCCATCAATGTGCTCTGTAATCCCAGTAAAAAAGTAGCCCAAGAAGCTTAATAAAATATTAAAATGTATGTCACATTTCCCTTACACTCCTTTAGTAGGATCAAGATTTCACAGTGATTTTTTTGTTTTCTGGGAAATCAAGCATATACACCATTTTCCATGAAGCAAATAATGAGAAATGATGCCACAAGTTCTCCTATAAGTTACATTATCTCTATCCATTTCCAAACCGATGACATAATGTATTTCATACACTTTTAGTAGAAAATATGATATATACACACTAACCACTAATACTGTATAACAGACCATTAATGTCTAATGCACTTACATATTGCCAATATATTAACTCTAGTGTATCATTGCACACTAACTTTTCCTCATTTTCTCAACACCATGACATATTTTCAGATGTTAAAGACCTTCTATCTTACTTTTAACATCATAAAGAAAATAGATCTATGTATGCTGAAACACTGACCATGTAGCGGTGACAAGAAGTCCACTAACACTAGCTCAAGCTGGAGCTGGAGATCTGACTGAAGTCATTAGAGGTTCAGACAGCTCCTGAATGTCATCATTACTTTTCTCTGAACAGGAAACCTATGGTGTACACCACTTTCTTACCTTCCAGCGGACAGGGTTGAGTGCCTTGATCTGCTCATTCATATCTTCCTCAACATTAAATCTGTTGATCACTGAATTTATTTTGAAAGCAACAGCATACTCTCGGCACCACTGTCTCAGTTTATGCAGATTTTCCACATGGTTCTTCTTTCCTTGACCACGGCCAATTAAAACGTTGACATTCTCATCAAAACTATCACATGAAATTGCCAGGATGTCTAAATATTCACCTGAAAACAAGTTTTAAAAATGGATTAATATTCTGTCCTTCAGTAAAAAGCTGTAAGGACTCTGCTCACTTTCACTTCCTCATGGTCCACAAAAGTGCCATGTAAATACAGTTCTGGAAAGTCATCACATGAACCACAAAAGCCACAGCAGTGGCTGTAAGAGACAGCCTGTAAATTCCCTGGCAAGGGGAAGAAGGCCCTCCAAGCCTTCAATGCAATTCCTCAAACACTCACAGGGAAATAAATAATCCAGGGCTGACATTCAAAGAGCTCATAGGCTCCAGAAAAACAGTGGGAGGACTGTCTTGTGGAGACAAGATAGTTCTGCCACTCATGTGATGAGCTTGCCAGTTCTCTGTGTCCTATAAGTGACCTTTCTTTCATTATCCATGAAATGCATATGAAAGCGTACATTCCTGCATACACTAATGAAGATTAAAGAGATCATGCTAAACATATCTGACTGTGGCACTTGTCTCTCCACCCAAATCATACTACAGATCACCTGAGAGAAGAGAGAAACCTAAGATGAGGCTGTCCTTGGCTAGGGGGGTGGAATGTGCTAATGCTGCAAACATAGAAGGGGGAAACAAGTGGCCCTAGAGAGTGAGAACAAAGAAGATTGTGCCTGGGAAGATTCTTCCCAAGAAAGAAGACCATGCCTAGGAAGATTTTTCCAAGAAAGAAGATTATGCCTGGGAAGATTCCCTGAAAAAGATGCTGGAAGCAGGACTGGTGATCTCTTTATCTCTGTTTGTTTTTTTTTTAATCTATCTTTTCCTTCTCTATCCCTCAGTTTCTCTTTTCTCTTAGAGTTAAGTAATGGTTAGAGCTCTTAAGTAACGACCTTAAGTACTGCTTGCCATAAATTGCTGCATAAGTAACATGCTAAGTAATACAATGCATACCTCACTCTTTGCCACAATTTGTTATATACTTAACCAACTATCATGGACTTATTAAGATCTATACTAATCACTTTGGAAAACTAATAAAAGTTTGTGTATGGACCTTGAGATTTATCCCACCTTAGTCCGTGCTGTTGGGGATTTACAAATCTGAGTCACTTATCCCCCCGTCCTTCCTGAGGGTGGGATGTGACAGCGGCATCAAAACATGTGTTTTGGTGTGTGTCCCCAATATTATGGAGACGGCCTGAACTATTATTTTATTATACTATTATATCAAAGAGGCAATAGTACAAACTGTCTATGTTCACAACATATAATTAACAGCATTTCACTAGTATTTACGTTTGGTTTGTGTTTACTGTAAATGAACCACTAACAAACTGTCTCCTGCTTGCACTGAAATCCATCTTTTGGTGAAGCTGCCCTGAGGAAGTTCCCAAACCCAACCAGTGCTCCTCTGCAAGGGGCTGTTTCCTTACCGTACTTCTTGAACCACCGCTCTCTAATCAGGCTGCCGTTGCTCACGATGCTGACACTCGGCAGCTTCAACTCCTGCTTGCAAAACCGGACCAGTTGCCCTACAAATTCGCCTCTGTCCTGAAGAAACGGTTCTCCTCCCGAGAAATTTATTTTCTCCATTCCTAGAGACGAAGCAAAGGGAAGATGCTGTAAACCTCTGCCTGCCTCTTGCCCCGCTCCTTCTACATGCTGTCAGTGCCCGACGGCAGTGATGCGAGGTGGGATCCCGGCTGTCTAACTACAGGGACAACTTCTCCGACGCCACTTGGTCCCCCGGGGACGCGGCCGCCCCGCATCGCCCCGGCCCCGGGTCCCACCGCCGCGGCGCTCCCCGGGACTCACCCGCCTCCTTCAGCATCTCCAGCCCCCGCTTCGCCTCCTCCAGGGGCAGCACGAAGGAAGTCTTGGCCGTGTGGAAGCAGAAGCCGCACTTGTAGTTGCACTGCCGGGTGAAGTGGTAATTGACGCTGGTGGGCGTCGGGGACGGGTCGTCCCACTCCCGCTCCCGCTGGGGGCCCGCCGGGGCGGCGGGGCTGGGAGCCGAAATCCGTCGCCAGCCGGGCAGGGACAGGGAGAGGGGCGACAGGCTCCAGCACAGCGCGCCCAGTCGCCCCCGCAGCGCCTCCAGCGCCGCCCGCGCCAGCGCCAGCGGCAGGCGGACCAGTGCGCTCAGCGGCATGGCTCGGCTCGGCTCGGTGACACCCGACGGGATGCTCTGCGGTTCCGTTACACCCGCCTGGGCTGGGTTCGGCTGGGCTCGGCTCAGCTCGGCTCGGCTCGGTTGGACCCGGCTGGGTTCGGCGCCGCTCTCCTGCTGCATCCAGGTGCCCGGCGCTCCGCGTTTAAGAGCGGTGCGGACCCGTCCCCTCCCGCCCCTTCCCGCAGCGCTGGGACGCGGGGAATCTCTGGGTTTCGCTTTCCTTTCCCGCAGAAGGGAAACTTGGCGCCGAGGAGCGGGCGTTCACTCGCTCCTTTACTTCTCCCCCCGCCCTGCCCCGCCCCAGACCCGCTTGAAGGGCCCCCACCAAACCCACCGGGGGCCCAGGGTTGGTAGGTGGCTTGAACACCTCTAGGTGTGAGCGCATCCAGCACCCCAGGACCCCTTTTACAGATTCACAAATTCGACAGAGTTGGAAGGGACCTCTAGAGATCATCTAGTCCAACTCCCCTGCCAAGCAGGACTGCCCAGAGCACATCACTCAGGACTGCATCAAGGCGGGTCTTGAAAATCTCCAGAGAAGGGGACTCCACGACCTCCCTGGGCAGCCTGTCCCAGGGCTCTGGCACCCTCACCTTCACTCCTTCCTCATTTATGAGTGGAACTTTGTATGTTCCAGCTTGCTTTTGATGTGTGTGGGCTCAGTGACTTCAGTTCTCCTGGTCAAAAGGGTGTGACCGGTGAAGCGTGGGGAGACCTGAGCTTGTGTGGCTGCTCTGCAGCCTTCTCAGAGACAGCCATGAGCTCCTGGAAGTTTAAACAGGTTTGTATTGAACTCTAGGTTAGGGAGCCCGATGAATTCCAATTCATGAAAAGAAAATACTTGAAGGTTCTTAAATTCTTAGTCTCCAATACTGCTTAAAGCACCTCAAGCAAAGCTACTTCACCAAGTTGAATATGGGGTTAGCCTTAACAGCTGGAAAAGTTGGCAGGTGCCTGAGGTGACCATTGGTGATGGCTGCCCCCTCATGGGAACACCATGCATTCCTCAATTCCTCCGTGGCACAATAGCTGTGGCTGGAGAGGAGCACCTCCATCACAGCACCACTTGCTATCTGCAGTCTTCCAGTGCACCCAGACACACCAAGAGGTCCTCCACAGCTTTTCAGCCTCATACTGTCTTCAGTCAGTCTGTCCTCATTCTTGCCTCACTGCCGCCGAGGTAAGGAGGCATACTCAAATCTCAACACCTACCAACTGCATGTTGGCTGCGGCAGGTTTAAATTGGAAGAAAAGAGAAAGAACTGGTAACATGAATAAGGTTAAAGGAGATGCCATCATCACATCACCTGTGAAGACCAGAAATGGTCCAAGGACAACCAGGCAAGTCACACAACGGCACATGTAGTTTTTAGTATTTGATAAATGTATTACTTCTTGTTCCACTCCCAGCTGGAAATGATCTCTCCTCCATTGCATCTGCAGCACTGTATTCTGCTTGTACTTGTACTCATCCCTCCTTGAGATGCACAAATCCAAGGGGTGTCACTGACATTACCAAATAGAAAGTTTAAATGCACAGGCAATCAAGTTATGAAACATAGAATATAAATATAGACACAGATTAGGCACATTTGAAAGAAGTCCACCAGCGGCCCTTAATGGTGTGTATGCAATCTCCTCTCAGGAAGTATTTGACCAGATGACTCCTAGGATCTGGGACAAGATGTTGGGACGAAGGATCCTTCTGTCTCCTTTCCATACTCTTCTCCAAATATCTGGCACTGGCCACTGTCATGGGCAGAAGAGAAGGGGTCTCTGGCCTGACACTATATTAACGTCTGTGTTCTTGTGATTTTATCCCTAGACCTTCATCTTTACTGGAGGGCCCTTTACTGGTTCCCTTTAAAGTTTATTCTGCATTAAACCAGCTGTATCCTATTTTTGTGTACTTTACATACCTATGCATTCTAGGGGCCTTCAAGCTAAGCAATTCCTGCCTTCTGTCTCTGTTTATCTACTGTTTATCTACATTACAGGACTGTGCACTTAGATATAAAATTTAGAGTCTTGATTAATTTTCAGCTTTTCCCCCCTCTTTTTCCACTTTGAGCAGATCAAAACATTTTTGAATGGTCATACAGATTCTTGGTGTGTCTGTGTCTCTTCCCTAGAGCTCCATGCCAGCACAGTGGGCCCTCAAAGATGTGACGAGGCTCCAGAACAGTGTTTTCCCCATAATTAGCACATATGCTCTTCAACATCATTTCATTTTATAGAGAAGACAAAATGATAAAGGGCCTTGTGAAGAAACTGAAAAATACTTACCATAAGTTAATTTCAAAACATATTCATACTCGCTACACTGATTTTAAATACAAAGACCTGTTTTGGACATAAAAGTCAACTCTCTTTCCTGTATTTTTACCTGAATTCTTTGTGTATAATCTTATCAGAAAGTCCTAAAATCTTGCAAGAACTTTTAAGTGATTAGCTAAGAGGACAGGCGTCACACACCTATTGTAAATGATCTCATAAGCATATTATAAATGATGACAAAAGCACCACTAGCTTGGTTTAGAAGGAATGCTTGTAAACAAGGGTGTGTCGAGGCAGTGGGAGGGGAAAATGAAAAATGAAAGTAGCTCTTGCCATTTAGTCAGCAAGGAGGGGAAAGGCAACAGCAGCATCAGGAAAGCAGAAAAATACAAGAGCCAAGGACCCAGACAGCGTCAGCTTTTCAAACGCTTTTGAAGCGAAACTTGGCTGCAAGCCAACTGGACTTTAAAAAAATGAATAAACAGAAAAGTGGCAGATAAGCTTCTTTGTAGGTAAAGGTAAGGCACCGCATGTAAGAAAGAATAATCGAAACTTTGTGTACGTGATGCTGAGCTCAGTAGTGGAAATTACATCTCAGGAAAGAGGTCTCAGAGTCCCTGTTGCTACCTCTCTGAAATACTTGGTTCTGTGGGAGGCAGCAGCAAAAAAAGTCAACAAAAAGCTTCGTGTCATTTGGAAAGGTATTGAGAACAAGCCGAATGGCATTATTTTGCTGCTCTGTGAAACCTTGGTACAGTTAGACGTACCCTGACTAGTGGTACAGTTCAAGACACCATGTCTTAGCAGGACCTCATGGAGTTGAAAAAGTTATCCCTGCCTCTAAATTACCAAGGGTTGAAGCAGCTATCTTACAAAACATTGTGTCTCTTATTTCTGACATGAAAATACTGAAGGGAAAACCCAAGTGAGCTTTACAAAGCCATGAAGGTGATAAATAAGCTGAATGTTGAACTGTTATTCACCAAAGTCAGCAATGTTATTAGAAGGGGTACTCATTGAAACAAGTAGAGTATGTGTTTAAAAATTTAAAAAAAAAAATGCAACAAGTTGTGCATTGATAGAATTGAGACCTTAGGGGTTTGTGGAGGTAGACTGTATTGTGGACTCAAAACGGATGTAAACAGATGTATGAGCAAGGGTTGATAAACAGGTGCTAAAAGGAAGAGATGAGGATGTGCTCTCTAACGTTCCTAATTTGGTGACTGGATGCTGCAGGAGCACAAGGAGTAGGAGAAGGGACCACAGAAAAGCCAGCTTTACGCACAGCATGTCATTCTACCGGACAAAATACTGGGTGAGAAGAGCCACTAGTCTGACTCAACAGTGCATATTATTTTGTTCTTAAAATTACCATCTATTCTTTTATAATGAACCATGTTTTACCCTGTGTCTTCTGGAATCCATACCCAGCTGCCATAGCCATATGTTTGAGTGATGTGGAAGAAGGCAGGAGTTCTCAGCTATGAAAAATGGCATCTTTTCTCTTAAAAAAAAAAAAAAAAAAGCCAGCTTTGGCACCTGCTCCTGAGACTGTACTGAAGACCCTCCAAGGCTGTGTTCCCAGTTCCTGCTCTGGCCTAGCCCTTCCACCAGCTTCCTCAGCATGGGCAGTTTCCACCTAGTGTAGCTGAACTCAAGCTCACTGACACTGCCTGCCAGCTAAGCAAAGGATGTTGGTGCAGTGTGCTTGAGCTGACCAGTGGGAGACATCAAGTTTCTGAGGAATTTCTTTTAGAGTGTACTCACCTGTACAGTATATTATTTCAGAAGATGCAGTAGAAGCTTAGCCTTAGATATCTCTTAAGTGGCAGTATTCCAACTATTGAAAGGGAGAAATAGGATTCTGCAGAGCTGCAGATTCTCCTACGTTGCAAGTTACATATTTTGAAAAACAAATATTTTGGGCAACATTACTCACAGCAGCTGAGATGAACCTGACTGTTACAGCTATTTGCACTGTGGTTCCTGCCCCTGAGCTGATGAAAGCTGAAACTGGCCATCACAAAGTTATGAAAACACTGCAGGCCATTTTACTTCCCAAATTATTTGAGTCCCTTAATCTTGTTATCAAGGCATTGGGTAATAGAATAATGGGGTTAAGTTTCCAATATCTAATCTATATCTTCTTTCTTTCAGTTTAAATCCATTACCCCTTGTCCTATCACTACATGCCCATGTTAAAAGTCCTTCTGCATCTCTCCTGTGGGCCCCCTTTTGGTACAGAAGGCTGCTGTAAGGTCTTCCAGCATCCGTCTCTTCTCCAGGCTGAACAACCCCAACTCTCTCAGTCTGTCCTCACAGGAGAGGTGCTCCAGCCCTCTGATCATCTTGGTGGCCATCCTCTGGACTCCCTCCAACATGTCCATGTCCTCCTTATGTTGGGGGCCCCAGAGCTGGAGACTCCGGGTGGGGTCTCACGAGAGCGGAGAAGCAGGACAGAGTCACATCTCTCGAGCTGCTGGCCACCGTCCTTTTGATGCAGCCTGAAGCAGCAGTGTATTCAGTGTATTTGTGCTTCTCTTGTGTTGTTTGTTTTTTAAGACTATCAGGATTCAGCCACGGGAGTCCGTGGGAACGTGACCCTTTTTTGCTGGGGTTGGGGGGGCGGGCAGGGAGGTGGGATCCCGAGGCCAAGACCGTATTTTTCACTTTCACTTCCAGCCCATCCACGCACAGCTCCAATTCCCGCGGAGATCAGCGCCTTCACCCCAGTGCCCTTAAAGCGGGGGGGGCGGGTAAAAAACCCGCCCTTCCGTGGAGCGGCCCTTCGCCCGGCTTTCCCCCGGGGACAGGCGCTTTCCCCGCCGGCGGGGCTGGTTTCGTTTCCCGCTGCCTCCTCCTCCTCCTCTTCCTCCTCCTCCGCCGCCGCCGCCCGCCCTTCTCCGCGCTGCCGCCGGCCCCGCTCCCCGTCTCCCGGCGATGCTGCGGCGCTGCCCCCCGGGCCCGCCGGGGCCCTCCTCGCCCCTCCGCCGAGCCCTGCCGCCCGCCGCCCCCGCCGTCCGACACCGCCTGCGGGAGGTAGGTGAGACACCCCCCACGACGGGGCGGACGGGGCTCTCCCGTCTCCCCAGGGGGACGGGGGCGGATGCGAAGGGTCCCTGCCCGTCTCTCCTCGCAGTGCGCGGCGCGGATCCCGGAGGCCGGAGCGGTCCTCGACCTGCTGGAGAAGTGTCCCGAGCACCAGAAGAAAGGGGGGTTTCCCGTGGTGGTGTTTGAGGGGCTGGATGCCACGGGTAAGAGCCACGCGTGCGGGTGAGGAACCGCAGGGGGAGAGGGATTGTTGGAAAGAGCAACCGCCACGGCTTTCAGCCAGGTGTAAGGCTTACAAATGCAAAAAATCCTGGAAACCCGTGACATATTTGAAAGAATTAGCAATTATAAAAGCCACTCTGTCTTCTCTTACTTGTAAAAGATCAGTCTATGCTGATTTTCATTCACTGGATGATTTCCTCATCTATGTAAATGAAAGAATACAAAGAGTGGAGGACTGGAAATGAAAGTTCTGGTGCAGATGATGAAACATACTTTTGCCAGAGAGTTTTCAAATAAGTGACTTAAAGCAGTGGCAGCCTGGGAAACTGGCAGCAGTTTGTCTCGGAGAGAAATACTAGCTGCCTCTGAATAACTTTGTTTTCTGTGTTTTCAGTTAAAGAGAACTGAAAATGCCCTCTAAAAAAAAAAAAAAAAGCATTGGGTGACAGCATTGCAATGTCCACGTGAATTGTGACCCAGAGAAGTATTGTAAATGGATATATAGAGAAATTGCCATTTAAAGCACTTCATGCATTTAAAGGAGTGAAGACAGAAAGCTGGCAAGAGGGAGGGGGGAAAGGCCTTGAGAGCAGGAAGTGGAGCAATAATTCCTGGAACCAGACTCATAACGATTTTCCACCAAAAACCTTATCAGCAGGTACTCGGGTTACATAGTCAGGTGTCAGAACACGTGCTCCAAGTGAACAGATAGGAGCATTTTTCAGTTTTTGAAACTCAATTGTATCTGATATGCAATATAACAAATGTTTCCTTCTGTAAATGAAATGCAGGCAAAACCACTGTAACTCAGTCTGTTAAGGACACCCTGAATGGCATTCTGCTAACGTCCCCACCACCTTGCATCAGCCAGTGGAGGACAATATTTGATGATGAGCCAGCACCCATTAAAAGAGCATTTTATGCTGCAGGCAACTACATTCTTGCATCAGAAATAGCGAAAGCATCCACTCAAGCACCTGTGATCATAGACAGGTTTGTATATTTAAGAAGTCCTCTCATATCAGTGCCGTCATACCATTGTTCAGTGTTACAAGCAGAAGTTTTCAATGGTGGTCTCTGGATTTCTTCTTTTTTCTTTTTTTTTGAAGTGCTACTTAGCAGGTAGTCAAATAAACATTAAATCTTCTAAAGAGCGAAAGAGTGTTACTTATGATAACAGTAAGGTGGGGGACTACCAGCAATGTAATACTCATAACTGGCTTTAGCATGCATGAAAAATACCTTCTGTTAGGAATAGTGGAGACATGGACTTTGCAGCCCGAGTCAAAGAGGGCTCTGTGGCAAACCTGAGGAGAATGAGGGCTGCCGATCATGGCTATCTCCAAGAAGGGACTGAGATATGGGATGAATTAGAACGATCAAGTTTTAGGCAGACTTACTCTTTGAGGATATAAAGCCAGAAATGTGCTTCCCAATTTTTTGGTTTTGTTTATATCTTTTCTTGTTTTCGCTAAGTGTGTTGGCAGCTTTCAGTATTACTTGTAATAAAGAAAGTCTAGGTGCACTTTGAAACTCCTGGCTTGTTTCAGTAGATGTACTGTAGCGTCCTGCCACAGCACACACAGATCAAAGTTGTTTGCATATGTGTGAATGCCATTTCTAACCAGGCTAAATATAGTGCCTCGTGGTGGTGGGAACATTAAACACAAATGTAATGCATGTTTTGTATAAAAATCCGTCTTCATTCACATATGAAGGCTGTATGATCCCTATCAGATCTGTTGCATGAAGTAGGATGGGAACCACAAAAAAGGCACTCTTAGCATTGGATTCTGACATAAAATGTAACTCTTCTTTTGACCTCTCATTATATGAGAAGACTTTCTTTTGTTAGGAGTACCTGGAACACTCTTTGCCTAATGCATAGCTTTTGCTGTATGTTTTAATTAATAATTCACAATAATTTGAATGTTGCATTGGATGATACCAGTCTGTTAAGAAAAAATGGATGGCACAGAATTGTTCTTCACAGCTCCCTTCAAAATCAGGGAGTCACCTACCTAGTCTATTATTGCACTTGTCATTGTATTGACACCTGTTTCCTGTATTACTGAAGAATTAGTGTCCTCTTTAAACTTTCTCTCTCCATTCTGTATTTCCCTGGCAGGTACTGGCACAGCACAGCTGCCTACACAATTGCCACTGAAATAAACGGGGAAGTCCAGGATCTTCCACCAGCTCATGATGAGGTGTACCAGTGGCCTGAGGATCTGCTTAAACCCGACCTTGTTCTTCTCCTGACTGTTGACCCTGAGGAGCGAGTCCGGAGACTTCAGCGTCGAGGTCTGCAGAAGACAAAGGAGGAAGCTGAGCTGGAAGCTAACTGCTTGTTTCGCCAGAGGTACACTTTAATGAGTAATACGAGGATGGAGGCAATCTTGGCTCCTATAGGATCAGTAGCAAAATATCCCAAGGATTCATAGCTGACAAGAAGGGTAAAATGTGTCATTTCTGATTGGAAGTGTTTGAAAGCTGCAGGAGAAGAACTTAATTGTCCTTCAAAGGAGCTTTGAGTTAAAATACTTGTATTTTGCTACTTGCTTCTTTTATTGTAGCACTTTTCCTATTGAGAAAAGGAGAGAGACCTAAAAGTTCCAGAACTGGGAAGCAAGAAGTTGAACCACATAACTTCCCCAGAAAAGTCTGAAAGTGAGCTCCAGATTAAGAGAAGAAAATCTAGGTCTCCTCTTGTAAATGTTTTTAGTTCTGCTAAATATCTCAGGTCCTAGTATAGTCAATACATTCAATGGACCCTTCAGAGTGGTTCAGCTCACCACCTGCTCGGAGCCCAGTGATCTAAGCATAAGTATCTGGAGCCATTTGATATGATTTGAGACATCTACATGAGGCTGGCAAATGTGATGCAGAATCTGTGGGCCCTTTCTGGACCAGCAACTGGAATCTAGATGAGATAGTTCAAGGCATCTCAAGTGCTACTAGATACATTTCCTTAAGCAGCTGAATTGGACCATAGGTATCCTGCTTCAGGGTGCACTGAGTTGCTGTCTAGGCTCCACCGAATTTATTTATTAGACCATCGTTGTCTACAGTGGAAACTTAAATACCCAGTGCTCCTGTAGATACCTCAGTATAGACACCTGAATGTTAGGGTCTGTATCTACAAATCACAAAGCTGAAATCTACCCCGAGGGTTTTGAGATTTCTGGTGATATATACCTTAAAAATATCCATTGTGTAATCCTGACAGAAGCTCTGTGCGGACACACGGTTCACATAGTGGGACCTGTGGAGGGATGGGTCAGCTAAGGGAACATGCTGCCACTTAAGAATATCTCATGTTTTAATTCTGTTACTTCTTATTCCCGTCAGAAAGCCTTGCCTTATTTCTGTGTGTTAATTGTGTCAACCTGGATGTGAGAACATTGAGAATCTTGCTTGATTCGTCTTACAGTTTATGGCCTGTTTGGCATTATTAGTTCTTGTGGGAACATAGAAAATTATACCCACATTCTCATTCACATCCTCATGGACTAAATGTGGTAGAGTTCTGCATTATGAGAAGGCTTACAGTCTAAATGAGAAGGTTTTCATCCTGTATTTCATCCTGGTATACATCTGGTTAGCAAAGTTGATCTGAGGAAAGGGTTAAATGATGTGTCAACTCTGTAATCCATTTCTCCAGTGACTCAAAGCTGAGATCAGGCAGTGAGCACACCTACGCCACACCACGCCATTTAGTTCAGAGACATCAAGGGGCTCTAAATAAATTAGCTCAGGTGTTGGAAGCAGGCTGTCCATTCTACTGCTGTACCAGACTCTATCCAGTGCTAAGCTCTAAAGGAAGAAATGTTTTAATGCCATGCCAGGAGAATATGGGAATCAGTGTCAAGGAAATCGCACTTTGAGGTTGGCATTGTAATAGTTAACTAATGGGTTATTGCTCTTTGCAGTAGATTTCATTCTGCAGTGCGAACACTTTCTTCCCAGGCTGATGACTAATGCCATTTCATATCCCTGCAATTTGTAGTTTCGTTTCTCTTGCTTTGTTTTTAAATAGAGTTGAAGAGTCATACAGAAGGATGGTAAATCCTGCGTGCCAAGAGGTCGATGCCAGCCCCTCCAAGGAAGAGGTTCTCAAGACAGTGCTACAGCTAATTAAGAAACACTGTGCAACTTAAAAGATACTTTTTAGTGCACGTAAAAGACACTTTTTATTGGTTTTGGTACCTGAAAAAGCACTGCAACATGTTTCTTCCCACAGAAGAATCTTCTCTTTGTTGTGTTTGACAGTGATCTGTGCAGGTTGTCTGTTTCACTGTTGCCTACTGTACTTTTCTGTGTAAGGCAAAATACTACTCACATGTTACTCAGCATTCTTAGTGAAGCCACAAACATATTACAGTCATGCACCAAGTACCTCAGAGTGCTCTCTGACACTGTGACATTTCAGGATGCTGTTTCGTCGCATCTTCATCACCAGGAGAACCTGTTCCCATATCCATTGTGTACCAGAATTCACTGGACTGCAGCAGGAGCTGTGGGTGCCCAAGGAGGGGCTGAAATGTCATCTACCAGTAAAACGATAAAAGGATCATAACAATGAGGAACAGAGAATCCAGTGGCCCAGTGGTGTTTGCTGGAATAGAGGATGGTGAGCTGCTGCTGTGATGGGTGTCCTGCAAAAAATGTGTCCCAAATGAGGGCCAATAAGCCTCTAGACCTCTAACTAGTAAAGTCCAAGCCTGTCAACATATGCTCTGCAAAGGCTAATTTTTCTGTATTTTAGTTTCACTATTGTTACTCCTAAGTGTAAAACTAAACATACGGGTAAGCCTTTGTGGGATCAGAAATGAACTGCAGATCCAGAAAGAACATAACTAAAATGTAAATTTGATTAAAAACACTATTTTACTTACTTTCCTGTGTTAAGCAAGTGCAGTTGTCAGTGAATCAGTCCCATAAATAAAAATATACTCAGTACTGCAGTTCCTATATACAATCTGTATATGCAAGATGATAGAAAAACTTCTAAAAATACATTTTATTCATGCACTGTTTAATGTTTGTGAATAAATGCTATTAATGTAATACATTTATACCTACTATAAATAAACACACTTGTATTTGTTATATTATGTATTATTTGTATAATAGTAGCCTTGGGATTTGCCATACATGCAGACCAGAAATACATAGTTTAAGGTGTTCCACTTATTTTAGAAATAGGTATTCAGTCCTGGATAAAGGAAATTCACATATAGAGGGCATCGGTACATGTGGATAATTAGGATACAGTGTGCCTGCCCTTAATGTTTTGTAGCCTTAGCTTTGCCAGGTGAGAGATCACTTGGCCTGAGGCACACCACCAGATGCCTTTTCTTCTTTTGCAAGCTTATATGTGAAAGCAGGCTGCCTGTTTTTTTGACGCCAGGTTCTTAAAAGTGTCGGTTTGTATTTAAAAGTGCTGGTAATATATATGCAAGTGGCATCAGACACTATTAATTTCACACATGCACTATATATTCATAGTCCATGTTTAATCCAAAGCTACTTAGGCAGACTAACAGAACAGCAAGGCAAGGTAGATCAAACCAATGCATCCTTTTCTCTTCTCTTTGTTAGAATTAAAGGTCTGCAAGAGGTTGTGTGCCACGTGCAGGATGTTAATGTGCATAATCATTCCCATACTTCCCATTTCTGTGGCATTTCTGCCACATTTTTGTCCACAATGCCTAAAAAGACTGCACTATTACTTTAATTTACATTTAAAACAAGTATAGAGGTTTGTCACTGGCAGCTGGAATGCAGGCAGGACTGGGAGAGGACCAGCAGGAATACACAAATGCCAGCCATCCCATACCCAGCAAGAGCATCACCTGCTTCATGTGTTATAAACGTTTTATCGGGCAGTTTGATGGCCACAAGAGGTCAGGATTTCGGTTTCAGTGCTCCAAAGACCTGAAGCTTCAAATAATTCCACACAGATTAGGAAATTAAGTCTGTCTTGGTAGGTAAAACTGTTTTTCTGCAGCTCTGGAGCATGGTCATTGTGTAAGACTGGAAGGTTATCCTGTGACACCGCGCTGGCCTGTGGCCACCAGCCTCTGCCATGCAGTCCCAAGGGTGGTCACCCCCTGGACCATCGCTCCTCACCTGCAGCCAGCCCATTCTGCAGGCCAGGTGTCTGCTGGCACAGATGAAGGCTGCTCTCTGCCAGTCATCCTCAGGGCAGAGGACATGCCTAAGCATGTTTCTTTTATTACTACCCCAGTAAATTTAGTAATTTGATAATTTACTGACTTACTAGTACAGACCTAGCTTTAGGATGTGATCTTGCAAAGATCCTGATATTACAGTCCTCAGAGTGTCTAGAGGATGGACCAGTAAAACATGTACACAGCAACTTAATATCAAGCATCTCAATGGTTCTGTTAAAGTCAGTGAATCCTGTCCTTACTGAACAATAAAGACTATTTGTAAATTTTGGGTGTTTCTTGAAGCACAAAACAATACTTTCATTTGGCCAAATTAAATGCTTTGTACTTTTAAATTATTTTTTAAAATTCTCCAAGAGTTTTATATGAGAGAATTTTACAAGATTTTTATTTTATTTTATTTTATTTTATAGAACTCACCATAATATTTCAAGCACCTTTTTTCTCATTTTTGATCTCATTTGCTTCATTTTTTTTGGTCTAGAGAGGAATAGTTACTTAAATAAAATGGTATTCAGTTGCCTAAACATAGACATCCACAGCCAGTTAGTCTCCCTAAGGTATCTGAGATGTCTGCGTGGGGCTGCCAGATATGACACGAGACATTTGGTTGAGCTGTTGATCTGTAGAGTGGCAGCTGGAGGCCTGCAGGGATACCATATGGTGCCTAAAACGGGACTATTCACCCATTTAAGCAGTGAGAGGGTTAGAAAGCAGTAGTACAGCCTCTTTGGACTGTGTCTATATTAGCAGGTGGCCTGGAACAGGAGGGCAGATCTGCAGTGCAGAGGAGCTGGAGCAGAGGACCCAGTGTGTGCCCTCCACGTATTTCAGAGATTTATTTCAGACCAGCTCTAATTCAGTCGCATGGGCTGGTCTCTCTGTAGCACAGTGAGTGTGCTTCTACGCTGGATCTTTTGGTATAGCTTTGTCTGGATGGAGTCCAGTTCACAGATGCCAGGATTGCTCCAGGACATGAAGCAAAGCGTGGTGAGGAGGGGTGGTCAGGATGAATGCTTCAAAACTGCATTCCTGATCCAAGCTGAAATGCTTGTGTGGATGTATTATGTAGATGTAATGTAAGAGAAACATGTCTCTCTTGGAAAGGTTTCTTTGGAATCAACAAACTTTGGATCTGGTTTCCTCAGTGACCAGATTGAGGACTCACCTGGAACATGCTACAGCTACTTTTGGTCTATGTTGCCAGGTTTCCTGCAAAAGGTAACCACAGTAGGGTTAGGGAGCAGGGACAAGTGAATTTTGGTGTGTGCTTGGCCCCATCCTGCCATAGCATGGGGTGTGGCCATCCAGTGTTGGGAGCAGTAAGTGCTGCTGTCAACGTGAGAGGTGAGGAAACCGCTTGGAAGCAAATACCGAACTTCAGCAGTGAAATGTAGGGCTGGTGTTCAGCCATTCCCCTTCCAAAAATAAAAGTTTGCAAGACAAAGGCTAATTCCCTGAAGTCAGATGCTAGATGGTGACATGCAGGCTCTTTCAGAAGACACCAATATCTATCCATTACAATTTCATAGTTATGTTCACCATTATTTTCTGTAGAGATAACAAGTGACTTTATATGCAAACTGATGTTTTGTCAAGTAGGAGTTCACTGTGCTGAGTGCCTGAAACTAACATGACACCTACAGAGGCCAGTTCTCCACCAGGTTTTCTTCACTGCTCCACGTTCTGTGTGATTTCCCCATGGCATTATTAGCTTCTGTGTGATTTCCCCATGGCATTACTAGCTTCTGGAAATTTGCCTAAAAATGTGCATGCTGCTTCCACTGTCAGTTCCTGACAGTTTCAGAAGCAGGAGAGTCAGGGCACTGCATGGGACTTTGATGGAAGGAAAAATATCTCTCTTCAAACTTGGAATAAACAAAGCCCCCAAAGAGGTTTTATTTTCATTTTACTTCCCCCCCCCCCTCCAGGAAAGAATAATTGCTGGTTGTCTGTTAAAATTCATTCGGTTTTTTCAGTCCCAGTTCCTCTATTTTCTTAATCTGAATATTTGAGAAAACACATAAGACTGAATTGTTGCTGCAGGGGGCTGCACTAACTTTGATCTTTTAAATGGAAAGCTATGTTCAATAAAATTAAATCAGCTCCTTTGTAAAGACAAAGATCATCACCCTCTGGCTTAATTTAACTAAACAGATGTAGGGTTTATGTAAATAAGCAGTCATTGTAATGTGAAACAAAAGCTAGAATACCCTGCCATTAGTGTAAAAATGCATTCTGTGTTACCAGCTGGTCAGCCGTGACCTTTTATTCAGCCATAGGGACGGTGTGTGTCATGTACTCCAAAGCAGGGGAAACATGACGAAAAAATAGTTCCTATGTCCGCAAACTCATTGGTTATGAAAAGAGCCAGACAGATAAAGCCCCATTTTAAGCAGGCAGCAGGTACAGAATGAACTCCAGTGGGGTTATTTGCTTTTTCTGCTGCTGCCCCCCTCCCCGGGGCCGGCTGTACTGGTGAAAGCATCGTGCAGTCTGTGCACTTGCTTGGGCTTTCAGTTTTCTTTCATGAAAGATGCTGTAATCCAGCAGGCCCATCTTTCCTTGAGAGGCCGGAAGACACAATGCCTGCAGAGGACCTAGACCACCTCCCTCAGCTGTAAGTCTCCTGGGTCAGTGACTCTGAGGCTTTTGTTGGTGCTGGAATACTCTTGTAGAGGACCATTTCCAAACAAGTCTTCCTTGATTCTAGTGGTATTGGTCAGGCTTGCATGAGGTTGGAACAGTAAGTAACGATGCACCATGCTAATGAGTTTCAGCTGCTGATGCAACCAGATTTTGGTGTATTGACCAAAGATACTGAGCTGCTGCTGTGTCTGAAGGTTGGTCTGTATCCAGCTGCATGTACTCCTTGTTCCCAGCCTGTAAGCTTTTGGGTGAATGCTCCAGTCCACAACTGCATTTCCCAGAAGCTTCCCTTTCCCTCCTGCAGGCCAAAGTGCTGGCAACACAAGCCTCAGACACCTCTGACACCCATCTTGACTCTCCAGAAAGGAAATCCTCAAACATCTTAAGGCTATTTTTAGTTTTCACTCCAAAATGGGATGCAATGCTTCTGTGACAGGTTGGCAAAAATGTCCCTATGCTAACATTTTCATTTGAGCTTTCTCACTCTGCAACAATATTTTACTGAAGCTGATTACCTAAGTATGTTCTCATAAGGGCTATATAGACATTCCTTAATAATGTAGTTCATGTATTATTTTTGTCTACTACGTATGTGTATTGCCCAAGTAACATAGACTTTGCTCTGCTGTTGCATTTTTCATATGAGCTTTGTTTGGTAAATGGAATAATGGCTATTTTAATGAAGAGAAAGCACTTACAGTTAACTTTTATTTAGCAGTTCTCAACTTCTGAACACTGTTGGGTTTAACTGTGGGGTCACATGCTTTTAACTGGGTCTGACTCTGCTTCCCCATAGCAGCACAGCTCCTCAGCTACCAGCAGCATTCCCATATGACTCTTGTAACACAGCAGAGAGTTCAGCTTTAGAGTTCATCTACTTTACAATTACAGCTGCCTCCCTTGGAGGATGCATCATCTGTGCAACAAACTGCTCTCAAGGTACCATAAAAAGCCTCTCCTTTTTCTGTGTGGGAGTTTCACTGAGCAGACAGCTAGGAAATGATCTGAACGTGGGCTCTGCATAGGAAATTAAAACTTATTTATCTGCAGCTGCAATTCAAAGGAGTACCTATATGTAGCATTGCCAGCTATCACCAAAAATAGATTCACTTTCTCAGTGTGTTTGATCTTAGGAAGAAATTGCTCTGCATTTCACAAAGGCTTTCCTGTAAATCTGAATCTGTTGGGACAAAAATTGTTGCTCCAGAGAAACTGGGTCTACAGGGTGGTTTTTCCAGATGATTTCACAATATTCAGAAGGGACAG